TAATAAACTTTACTGTTAACATCACTCATACGAAATTGATTCTGAATACAATATACTGAGGTATTCTCCTCGCTATTAATCCATCCTCCGCATTTATCCATCCTTTTTTTCCTAGTTTGTCATCAAGTTATTATCAATATGACTAGGTGGACCATGTTAACCTCTGCTAACATGAGTCTTTTACGTACGCATCTTTTATGTCGCGCTCTTGTTATTATCTCTCGCCTTCGTTGCATCTATCGTTCCTCTCACACATCTCGTCATTTCAACACGAAATTTCTTGTCGAGTATTCTTATCTAAAATATCTCACACTTACACCTTGGTAACAATCACAAACTCGCGGAATTTTCTCACTTTCAGCATTTTTACTAGATTTGTCATACAAATTCTAACGCTCCCGAAAATTAGAAAATCCGGTGAATAAGCTTAGGTGAGATGAAAGTTCAACAAGTGGTCACTTACCAAAGATACAAAATCGACCTCCTGGGCCAGGAGAGGCGACACGACGGTACAGGTCTGGTTTGTATCGTCTCTTTCGGAATCGATCGGAGATCTTAAATCGCTCCTATAGTGATTTGAGGTCTTGTCCAGCGAAACGGTTTCAGAGTCGATATGTAGGAAAGTTTCCTCCCTTCCTACAATTCAGGTTGTGTTCTATTTTTTGGCACTTTATAAATGTCCCGCGAGGCTCGCGCGTTTGCGGTAGACGTGGGTTGTTGCCTGTGGGTTGCTGCGTAGTGTACATAAGCAGAATGGCTGTGTAACTGTGTGGACGAGTCGTCGGTACACGTCACCTCCCAAGCCCGCGTATTTTAACTTCAGTGACGAAGTTGTACTATATTCTCAAAAAAATTTAAAAATAGGAAAAATAATAATGGAAAAGGAATTGAAAAATCTAAGTATACAAGTTTAATATTCTTTATTGGTGTAGAAAATGTACATCTTTAGTAAGTTTATTTCGTACTCTTCGGTTTTGTAACTTAATATTATGTATTTTTATTTCATGATGTAGTCGTAATGTAAAATAACTTTTGAATATATTTTGTATTTGATATTGAAGCAACGCTGAGTATAAAAGTATTATTAAGTGTATTACAATTTGAAGTATCGATATATTTAATTTCTACATGTGAAATTAGTTTAAAAAAAAAAATATAGTTTATAGTAATATAAATTACAATTATTAAAATAGGCACAACAAAATTTAAGCACAGATAAATCAAAATTAAGTTCTGCTATAACTTACCAACAGGAGACACAGTACTTTGAAATGACTCTTGTTTTTTTGCAATTCTTTTACTAGCAGCTGGATCCTATCTTTTCCTATACTTAGCTGTTTGCATTGTCTTCTGCGCATCTGAAGTTGATTTTGAAAACTTGAAATTTTTTCTTTAGAAGTCTGAGAATACAACTGCGCTTTCTTTGGAGAATCCACGTCGTCGATGCTAAAATTTCCTTTAAAAAATTTTCTTTTGGATGACATAGCTGGCTGAATAAAATTTTGCACTTGTGGTTCGGCTTCAGAATTGATTTTAATGTCTGTGACATTTTGATCAGTAAATACCACTTCTTTTAGGACCTCTCTCTCATCGATAACTTTCTGGCTTACCTCCTTTAGAAAACAAAAAATATTCTGCCTAAATCACAATAACAGACTGATGATACTAGTTGTTAGTGAGTATTGTTTGAATTACTTGCTCCGTCGTATTGTGATTCTTCTTTTAAAAAAGATAGTGGTACTTGCATGGGTTTATACTTATCGACTCCCATACGGAAGATATTTAATTATGGGACAGCACCTTTTTTTAATAATGCAGCTCTTCCAAATTGCTTTGGCATAAAAGAGTCCTTGGTCAAATGCTGAGAACAGATGCAAGAAGCAGTTAATTAAAGTTCAATTAAAAATTTTCATCGTTTTTTACATTAATGACAAAGTCATTCATCTCGCATTTCCAGGTTTTTAGAGAATCTAAAATCATTAATATCAAATTAACATCAAAGTTTACAATTGAATGAATTATTATTAAGTTTCTTTATGAAACATTTTAAAAACATAACCTTAAACTCAATGACATTTTCTTTACTTACTCAAAAAACGACAAGGTCGTGGGAGCGCGGGTCAACGGGGCTCTTCGCGCTTTTTGCACTACAATTTGAAACAACGCATCTCCGACCCATCTTATAATTTGAAAATATTGGTAAATCCTTATCAACCCTTTGAACACGGAGCCATTGCGCCATATGGGCGAGATTCGTCTGACCGTGCAGGCAATATTGGACCAAACGTCGGGCGCCTTTAGGCGCTCTTAGTAGCCAAAGGGTTAATTATATTATTTTGTATACTTCCCGATCTTTATATGTACATACACGATGCACATTAATTCGTGTCGTCGGCTCACGTGGTACATTCTAGTTTACCCCTTCCACTACAATGCGAGGTCTAGATATTTATGGTCTAAGTTTCGAAGCCTCCTTTATTCTTCTTCGCATCACAGCGGAGTTATTTGAGAAAACACTGGTCTCTGTTTTGAGGCCACGGCGAAACCTTTCAATTTATTGGAATTTATTTTGCTTTGGATTAGGTCGTACAAATAAGCTACCCTTGCAAGTGATGATCGAAGGTCAATGGACTCATTTTTCCGTACAGTCTATATTTACGGTATTACGAGAGTAATGAGGGATAAACTGCTGGATGGTACGAACTTTTTTGAGAGCGCTTGGAGCATCTATGAGTGCGTCATATTGCGGCGAGGAAGGATTTAATGGACCAGAAGAGAGGTTGGAATATTGCAAAAAAGAAACGCTCCTTAAAAATTTTCCACCGACCATATAAATAATGCGAGGAAACGAGTTAATTGGTTCCAAATCATTTCCTTCACTTGCTACAAAACGAGATAATTACGAATCGACGAATCGCCATTTTGAACAGAGTTGATAAAAATCACGATTTCTTTTAAAAAATAAAAAATCGCTGACTTGTTTAAAATTACGATTCAAGTCACGATTTCTTTTTGATATATTAATTATTTAACTAAACTCATTTAAAAAATTAGGCTAAGTTAATATTACTTAAAAATTGTCATAATTTGTTTCCACATTTCGAGAACATATGAGCAACGATCCGATAATTTTGTGCATTGCCGAAGTATTGAAAAAATATTTCCTTTATACGCAGTTGTACATTCAATAATTACATTCAATGATTCTTGTTTGAGAATCGATTACCTTTCTTGAGCTAAAATAATATTATAAAATATTATAGGGATAATATTCTAAAGTAAACGTTTTGCAAATATTTCAAATGTCTGCGAAATATTTACAAAATGTACGATATTCGTTAAATATATGGAAAATATAGGACAAATATTTTGTGCTACTAGGGATGGTTATTGTATATTGGTTATTATTGGTATTAGGTATATGGTTAATAGGTATATGTGAAGTGCCGGTACGGTTAGTGTTAACATGACACAGGATTTCATTGAAAGTTAAAGAGCCGAACGAATCATTTGATCGTCCGAAACAAAGTAGTCGATGAAAGTGCTCAAATCATCGTAGGTTAAGGCACGGATCGGAGGTCAATGGACAAGTGTTTGCGCGTTACTTCTCTAGTAGCACAAAATATTTGTCCTATATTTTCTATATACTTAACGAATATCGTACATTTTGTAAATATTTACCAGACATTTGAAATATTTGCAAAACGTTTANTTGAGATTTTCAAGAATTATTTCAAATATCTTCGAATGAAATCTACAAGAAATCTTAGAAAATCTGTCGCTTGAGATATTTAGCAAAAATTACAAAGAAATATTGATAAATTATTCTATGCTACTAGGGTTGCGTCCACCATATTGCAACTACCAGGGATGAATGACGGATTGCCGGACGAGGAGTATCTCGGCGAGAGGTCCCTGCAGTTTCGGCGAGCCGTCACTTTCCGTCTTGGCATATGGAAACGAAACGGCCTGCCAATTCCTTGGCAGTCTAAAGCAGTCTAAAGTTAGAACCGCGGGAGCGCGCGGCCAAGAGTTCCGCGGCGAAGTGGGGGCGTAGGTGGCGGTGCCCTCATCCCGGAGGAAAACACTCGAACTTTATCTATCCCGCGCGTAATAATACGGTACTTCAGATATTAATAACACCGGCATCGCGGTAACCCGAGGACGGGACCGACTAAAGGGAGCGGGCGCGATAATTACTCGGACCCGAAGCTAGATTCGCAAATTGACCGCTACCGGGGAAAGCTCTCCCGAAATACTCGTCGGCGAGTTTTGCTCCGAAAACTCGTTCGCGAATTCCATCAACCGTATCTCGGTAACATCCCCGAGAGGAGTCGTGAATTCTTCAATTAATTATACATTTAACTAGCTTTTCATCTTATTTTCCAGTTTCGCGCAGTCGCGCCACCTGTCCGCCGTAGATGGAACTGTTAGGCCGGAACGACTTCCCGCATGTAGCTTCGTGATGGAGGTAATGTATAAATTTCAGTTCCGACTCTCACATAAATCTTAAGTTTCTACGGTGCTTCTATTTTCAGATTTAGGTATATGTATTAGGGTCACAGGGTAACGTTTTCTCTTTTCAAGACGTTCAGAATTCCTTATATATGTCAAATATATATCTTCGGATTGCAGAGATTAAAGAGTTCGAGGTAAGGATTCACCTGGGGGCTGAATAAGGGTGTCGCTTTTAGAGATAACCGTTACATTAAGAGAAAAAACGCCTTGCTACGCTATTTCTGGATGTTTTGAAATTGTGCTCCTTTATCGCCTTTATCCTAGCAATAAAAACCTGTTTATCTCGTATCAATTGATCGGGAATGAACTCAACATATATCCTATAATTGAGAATGTGAAAAATTGAAGAGGGTCATTACTTCCAAAGTATATAGGTTCATCATCCCTACTATTTAAAATTAGCCTCCTGTGATTTCACGAAACGACTCGTTCAATGACTTATAATCGCAGTTTGCTATTTGGCTACAAATTAAACGACAGAATTAGTTCGGTAACCTCATTGTTGTTCTAGATTATCACAAAGGTTACAACAATTGGTCGGCTATAACTATTTAAACAATTGGCAACAATCGAATCTACCAGTCCATGCACTGAAAGAAGAAAATGAAACCGAATAAAATCGTTTACTATGTACAAATACATTTCCCTCTTACACGTATGCATTTCATTAATCCTAAGTACATTAAGTCGTATACTTTATCAAACTATAAAAGTCCATTCGTGATTGACGTTCGAGTAGCTTTACATAGACTCCGAATAAGCGTTTCTCTCGGTGCGGCTCAGAACCCGGCTATAAAGTGAAGTACAAAATTAGTGGAATTAGCGCCACAAGGATCCACAGTCGACGGTCAAAGATAACAACGATCGTCAACTGCGGTAATGATAACCGGACAGATTTGGGATCCGCCCCCTCTTCGCGAGATTTAAGGGGGCTCGTTCCTGTTGACGGGGTTGCGAGTATCCATTTTTTTTCAACAGGTACAGGAAAGAAATGCAATACAACATTTAAATACAGTTTAAGCGTGTATTAATCATATTTTAAATACATATCAATTTAACTTTGTACCGTTTTGCATAAAAAAAGGTTCCAGCCACGATAAGTTGTAAAGAACCGTATTTTGGTGTACATCCTTATTTGCCATAAGTTTTCAGACGGTCCAGAGTCCTCCGCCTTTAGAATGAAAATCGTGACGTTTACCTATTCAGAAATGGCCATTCTCATTAATTTCCAATGGCGTTGAATAATTGTAAAAAGCTATTTTATCAAAGTATGGAGAAATTGCCGAAAAACAGAGTTAATAGATAACTAAAGTTTTGAGTAACTTTGCTTCTACATAGTTGTCGATGGTCATATCTATAGCCACATATTTTATCAACACGTATGCAAAATATGAACTATGCGGAGCGAAAACTTGACATTTTATGACAAAGCATGAAAACTGGCACTGTTTGGAAAATGACTAAAGTTTCATATTTTATCAACATACTTTCTCAACACGTATGCAAAATATGAACTATGCGGAGCGAAAACTTGACATTTTATGACAAAGCATGGAAACTGGCATTGTTTGGAAATTGACTAAAGTTTCAAAACAGTTCTTTACGTAAAATGATGGTATGTACGAAAAAGTAATACGTTACATATCACGCTTAATGTATATTTACACGTTATGTTTCGCTTTTTCCTGCGCCTGTCAAAAAAATGGGTATTTTCCCCCAGTCAATAGGAACCCCCGTACGAACCCCCTTAACTCAGAACCGTCACAAGGAGTACCTCGACGACGCGCGACTTACGGTGTGTTTACGCACACGCGTCGGATTGATATACTCGCTCCGGTGTGGCGGCTAATTTTAAGAGAGTCCTCTGGGTGTCGCACCGTACGCAGCCCATGGGAAACTCGATCTTTTCGGGGTCTCTGCGCGCGTATCTTCCGCGTAATTCCTTCGCGTCCGAAGAGACACAGGGATAAAGAGAAAGAGAAAAATAGAGAGAGAGAAGGTGAGAGAGTACGCTCGGTACATCACGAGGCCCAGAAGAGGGAGAACTCGAGATTTTCGAAACCTTTTGGCGCGCAACCTCGGAGCACTGACGTAAAACGTGACATCGAGGAAGAGCTCCGCTCGTCTCGAAATAGACTAGCAATGGCACGTGCTGGTACAGTTAACTTTTCCTCCAAAAGACTCTCCGGGGACTCTCGGAATAGAGCCAGTCGGTTCGATCCAGCCGCGAGAGTTTCCTTCGCGGAGAAGTATTTACTTTCCGAAGCTTAAGAAAGTCCGGAGCTTTTCCTTCGCCCAATGGAGCGCCGTTTCCTCCTACTCTCGGTCAGAGTGGGGCTATACGGTCCATGTATAAGCCCCGTAATTTAATCACTCGTAAAAGTACTCGCTTCCGTTTACGGTATCCGCCATTGACCTGGGGTATACGCTGGAGTTCCACATTAAGGATCGTTCGTGAACGATTAATTACCGATTGGGTCCTTTGTTTCCTTGGATTATTTTTTGTAAGGGTGTTTGCCTTCGTGGACCGTTCTTCCTCGAGGGTTAGCGAAAACTCCCGCCGTGTACTTTAATCGCCACGGTCAGAGTTTAAGGTCGAAAGGACAGTTCCATTTCCCATCCCTCGGCGTGGAATCGAATCCGATACGACTTGACTCGTGTTATGCCGCGACTAAAGCGGATTTTCAGCGGATCGATTCGTTCACCGATCAGTCCGTTGCGTTTGGATTCGTGTAGGAGAATCCTCTGAAGACGTCTTGATCCATCGAGTTTAGAATTTGTTCGGGAACGGGACTCAGCCGAGGTCGTTCGGCGGTGAACGCGGTGTCGAAGTATCTCGTGTCCAGGGTATGATCCAACGCTGGTTTGAAAGGTGGTTCCAGTTGCCTCCTTTCCAATCTGTCCCAAGGGAGGCTCTGAAATTGCCACATGATTTTCTCAGGATTTCTTTAACTACTCCCTAGCTACTTTTCACATTTTTATACATTGAATACTTATTCCAAGATGCCTGACTAAATTTTAAACCAGCTTAGTTACGTTCATTTGAGGTCTATCTCGAGGATTCTAGTATTTTACCCTGTTATGGAAGGGCGTAGCGATATTCTCTGAGAGTTCATTCATAGTTTTAAAAAAGCCTACAAACTTGTCGAATGACGGTTAAACATCGGACTCGAGGACTGTAGTGTAAATAGGAAAGGTACCGTTTTATCGTATTTACCTGGAAGAACGGATGCACAGCGATTTCATGGCCAGGGAGCCTCTTTCCAGAATCTTTTTCCAACAAGCAGACCAATATGTCAGTTGCCTCTTGACTTAAGTATCGAGGAATGAACGGTCGCTCGTTGCAAATACTCCAAAATAGCTCGTCCTCGTCGCATCCCGAGAACGGAGATTGGCCAGTGAGCATTTCGTACAGCAACACCCCAAAGGACCACCAGTCAACGGCCTGGTTATACTTCATCCCTTTTATTATCTGCAAAGAAGAAACGTTTATTTACCCCCTGCTCTACGACCCGACGCTATACATCATTAACAGCTGTACTTAATAAAAAGGGTGCAACGGGTGCAGGCCACAAAAAGGTTTCCCTTTTTATCTCGCTTAGATTCAGTTAGAAGCGTATCGCCCCTCCACCAAGACGAAAATAATCCTCAATTTCGGCTTTGTTTTGAATTCCAATCTATTTCGGACCAAGTTGGATGTACTCGTCGATAACAACTGCAACTGTTCAAATGCCGTTTGAGCGCCGCCATTGTTTGCGGCGGACCTCGAGATAAATTCTTAGACCGCGGGAACACCTTCAACTTCCAAATAAGTTTTTCTTGGGTGGTTTTCCCGGGGCGTATAATTTAACACGGTAAATGTTCTAACAACAGCGCACCAGAAGCTATTTGCTTTTCCTCCTGGGCTACGGCAACAAACCACCTTTTCACTCATACTAAATAATCTCTGTGTAAACCATCGCTACGTAACTGGTCTATTCGCAGGCAACCTTCTCCAGACCGGACCTACCGGGGCACCAGAGCACCAACAAATGCACAATTCTTTTAAGATGATATTAAAAGGCGCTGAGAAATCTAATCGAGGTCGATAAATTACAACTCATCTATACCCTTTTTGGTGGGAACGTCATTTTGAATACCCAAGTGGTAACATAAACTGGCGCGTCACGTTACCGACCTTTATATTTATGTTGAAGTCTTTTACAGTCTACCTTGATAATTACACGAACCGAAGCGTTCCATATGTAATTTCAGGAAAGTATCGATGAAGAGATCTATGTAAAACTATCGAAATCCTGTGAATTCATTATTCTAACGACTGTTTAGGACCAACGTCGCCATCTGTGACGTTTAGCTGCAACTAAATTTTTCCTCTAAAAACCCGCGTTAGCCCCCAGACAAGCAATCGTGGTGCAAGTACATCTTGCAATCGTTGGTGAAAGTATTTTCCATATTTTCCCATCTGACTCTGTAATATTTAATTTCTACGGTATTCTTAATTGTTCGAGCTAGGTCCTGAAACTAATCATTTTCGATTCTTAAGCCTCCAACAAGCGTAAAACATCGAAAACGTGCCTGGACTACGCCATGTTGATTCCAGTTCATGATAAATAAATTAATTTTTGATGTAAAATGAAATTTCGTGAGTTTCAGGACCTACTTTACGCCCTCCATTTTCCTGTGGTAAAATTTCAAACGAATCGATACACGCAATTCGGAGAATACTTTCCCCGCCGATTTGACTTCTCAGATATATAAAGGCTGACTCTTTCATATCACCTTAAGGCGATGAGTCTTCGATACGTGGAAGAAATGAAAGTGAAACAAACATTCGGTAGAATAACCCCGGTTTGAGCCGCAATGTCCGGTTTTCAGTTTGTTATAAGAATATGCACCCTAAAGTATAAATTTAGCTTCCGTGCTTGCGACTCTTGCAACGCTTTTGGTACATCCATTCTTCACTGTGATATACGCTTGTTTCCTGAACATGCTACACTCTGTTACAAATTAGATCCTGGTCGACAAACTAATGACATCATTCCTACCAACACGATACTTCTCGGGAAAAACCGTGTTCAAGACTCAGTTTATGTCGTCTCGTTTGTTTCAATCGATCATTTCTTGACTTGACGATTAGCAATGAATAGAAAAATTAATAAAGTTTCTTTTCCTTTGACATTCAATGACATCATTCCTACCAACACGGTAATTCTCGTGAAAAACCGTGTTCAAGACTCAGTTTATGTCGTCTCGTTTGTTTCAATCGATCATTTCTTGACTTGACGATTAGCAATGAATAGAACAATTAATGAAGTTTCTTTTCCTTCGACATTCAAGGCTCACCTCGGGTGCCATGTAATCCGGAGTTCCGCAGAAGGTGTCGGCCGTCCTGTCAAGGAAAATCTGGAGTTTGCACATGCCGAAATCGGCAATCCTGATGTGGCCCTCGAAGTCCAGAAGGACGTTGTCCAGTTTAAGGTCCCGATAGACGATACCCTTCTTGTGCAAGAAATTTAACCCCGACCAAATTTCGGCCGCGTAGAAGCGCGCTCTTGGCTCCGGAAATCGGCCAGACTTTTGGATATGGAACATCAGGTCCCCACCGTTCAGGTACTCCATGACGAAGAAGAGGTGAGAATTTGTCTGGAAGGTGCAGAACAGATGGCATAGGTAAGGATGCCTCGTCGCCAGGGTAAGGACTTTCCTTTCTATAAGAGTGCACTCCACGTCGTCGTCCTCGAGCACTACGTCTTTCTTCAGGCACTTCACTGCATAAACGCATTCCGTGCCTCGCAGTTCTGCCAGCAAGACCTTGCCAAAACTGCCTTTTCCGAGGACCTGCAATTCGATATTAGCCAATTAAAACGTTAGCAATTAATTCCACTAAGGAAGGACCTCTGCGTTAATCGTTTCTAGTATGTGTGTCATACGGGTCTTTAAAGAAAAATGCATGTACACATTTGCATACATTTGTACATATTTTTTCTATCCATGGGTTAGTCAGACATACGTATACCATTGAGAATTTAGAAAAAGATTTCAAAAATTGGAATTCGTGGAGATGGTTTCGAGTTGCTTAAGGTGAAGTGAAACTCCCTTCAAATTAGTCGATTCGAATACAACACTTTTTTTTAAGGGTATTAGACCAAACTGCCCGAAACTTTGACACGTCACTCCTGATCATCTAAGAATTGTACTGACACATTTAAAATTTGGATTTTTTAACATTTTTAAACTCAGCCCACACCAGAACTAAAATGGCGTCGAGCTCTCATATTTCAATCAATCTACAATTATCGAAGGCTCTGATATGAGAAACGAAAGGGTCAGGACAATTTTACGACAATTTAGAATACTCTGGTAATCGGTAAACTCGCATTTGAACGGGATAAAGACAAAAAAAGTGTTGTATGCGCTTCTATGCCAAAACGAAGGGAATACGAGGTCTCGGAGTGAAAATTTAATTCACTTGGAAAGCACAGATGGCGCAGGGGGTCCCTCTGCAGCCAATTAGGGCCCCAGAAAGCATGAACCCAGAGGATTTCTGGAGTTTTACTTCGATTTCTTTATAATTATTGTATGAAAACGACAGGTGGAGTATGCCATTTGATACAATATGCAATATAATTCGACACAGCTGTCAATATGAAAACGAACGTCGGCAACGTAGGCATTTAGAAAAATCTTTTTTATCGATGTCGATCAAGTTCCTCGACGTGTTTCACTTCACCTTAAGGGGTTATGTATATTTGTTGGGTTAGACATTTTTTGGGCACATATTGTAGAAATATTTTAAATTAAAAAGGAAATCGATATTTGAATCTTTTACGAAGTTATAGCCATGGGAAGGAAACGAGCCCTGCCATTCCTCAAGTCAGATTTTCAGCACCAGGGTGGCATGTGCCTTTGTTCGAATTTAATTTCAATTTTGTTTAATATTTTGGAGTAAATAACGGGGGTGAAACTATTGTAAATATTTATGGAAAGTAGAGTACTCATAAAGCCCGCAATTAAGAGACTAGGGGCTAGGTACAAACTTGCCATTCTGCCTAATCTTAAAACTCGGCTAAACCTTTGAAAGTGTTTCTTTCGAAGTTGAATTTTTCAAGACAGTGGACATACTTTAAACAAGTGTTGCTATCGGCTTACCAGGGTATTTTAAAATAAACTTAACTGTTCTCAAATAATAATTAAAAATGTACATTAATCGTTCCCTCCGCTTGGAGTGGTAGCAGAAAAATCGTTCAACGCGACAGCATTCAGACACCGGATTTGTAATCAGTTTACATTTTTTATTCCTATTTTCTGCTGGAGGAATATCTACTTTTATATTNTGTACGATATTCGTTAAATATATAGAAAATATAGGACTAATATTTTGTGCTACTAGGGATCGGCCTAATGGTCCTCCTCCGATCACTCATAAATCATCATTCATTCAGATCATTCCATAGTTCCGAAAGGCGAATTTAGTTAACGCAAGTTGACTTGAAGCAACAATGTGCCATCTCTGAAACATTGAAAGTGCATCCTAGTTTGTTTATTACCACCGGCTTAATTTACGCCGCTTTCATATTTCTCTCACTGTGTCACAATAAGGTCCGTCGACGATCGTAAATCCATCCGCTTCCCATTATTCATCGGTTCTTTCAAAGCCAATTGCGCCTGCAAGCCGCAACCCAATAAATAATCCGAGTCCACCGAGCGAAACGCTAACTGCGCTACATCTCCAAAATAACTATTTCCGCCAAGGAAAGTGCTCTCTTTCAAAGGAAACTTTGATGCTCCCCCAGTTCCACAACTTTTAATTACGACGACGAATATTCCGAAAAGTATTTCAGGACCAACCACGAAGCAATCTAGGAAGGTAGCCGCGAAACGAGACGCAACGCTTTGCGATCTTCACTCGTTACTTACAAGGAGACATTCCCAAGTGTCCGCCCCCGATCTTATTGATTTCCATATATGTTGAAGAACACAAAAATCTAAGAGACACGTGTTTTTTTATATCTGCAATGATCCACATTTAAAGGGTGAAACAACCCCCCAAAGTTTGGCGAAAATTCAGTTTTTATAATAATTTTCGTAAAAGCAGTGGAGGGATTTCGACGAAACTTGGTATAAACGTATTCCGTATAAGGACGGTGAAAACACAATATTGTCCAGCAATGCTACACCCCCCCAAGGAGGTGAACTACCCTTCACGCGACATTTATTTGTAATATCTAATAAACAAGCACTCCTACTTAAGTTCCACTTACGCGATGTGATTGCTCACAAAAAATGAAGAATCCGTGTTTTTTTTGCTTTTTACCAATAAACATTTACACATCGGTTGTAAACAATGCATGTAGGTGGTATACGGGTATATTCCGAGTAGCTTTATTAGGTTATATCGTGACCAATTCATTGTGCATAAATCTTGTGAACGTGCTAATTCCTCAAAATGTCGTTGGTTTTCATAATATGCAATTATTTACGAATATCGCTAACTCTATTACCGTAAAAACAGTAAAAATCCAATTTTACCGTTTCACTAAGGAGATTTTATTACTATTTGGAAACGGGTGATGACTGTGTCATCGGTTCTGTTGCGAAACTATTTTAGTCTCAAACTTTTTTTTAAATTTATTTATAAATAATTGCATGCTATGAAAACCAAGGACATTTTGAGGAATAAGCACGTTCACAAGATTTATGTACATTGAATTGGTGACGATATAATCCAATATAGCTAGTCGAAATATACCCGTATACCACCTACATTCATTGTTTGCAACCGATGTGTAAATGTTTATTGGCAAAAAGCAAGAAACACGTATTTCTTCGTCTTTTGAGTAATCACATCGCGTAAGTGGGACTTAAGTAGGAATGCTTGTTTAATAGATATTACAAAAAAATTTCGCTTGAAGGGTAGTTCACCTCCTTGGGGGGGTGTAGCATTGCTGGACAATATTGTGTTTTCACCGTTCTTATACGGAATACGTTTATACCAAGTTTCGTCGAAATCCCTCCCCTGCTTCTACGAAAATTATTATAAAAACTGAATTTTCGCCAAACTATGGGGGGTTCTTTCACCCCTTAAATGTGGACCATTGCAGATATAAAAAAACACGTGTCTCTTAGATTTTTGTGTTCTTCAACATATATGAAACTCAATAAGATCGGAGGCGGACACTTGGGAATGTTTCCTTGTTAGGAGAGATCCTGTCCCAGGTTCTCGGTATCCGGCGACAATTACCGAGGACAGCCCAATTGGAGGCGTCATTTCGAGTGGTTTCTAATTGCAGGACGATTCAACCCAGTTTCACATCGGTTAACTTGGGGACGGGCCAGTCAATGGATCGCAGTTTGCCGACGTTCCGTCCAATCCCTCATTAAGCGAAGCATAACATTAAATCATTGCCAACCGGAGGCGTGAACCGACGTCCTTTATTGAGGATTTTTGGGTCGATGATCAGGGTCGGCACTGCGACGAAGCTCCATCCAAGGAGGCCGACCCTGACCGGCTTGATCCAGACGCAAAATGTCCATCACGCACCTGCCGACCGATAGATCGATCGCGTCGATGGGACCTTCAGGACTTACTTTTAGGAAATTGAAGTCCGTGACACAGTACTTCTTGAATCTTGGCAGATTGGTGGCGGGCGGGGTGACACGGCCAGTTTGCAGATGATCGTTGCTCTCGGAGTTGCGCTGATTGTCGGCCGCCTGGGAGGGTGCTGCCGATTGGAATTGCGGGAAAGAAAAAAGATCTGCGTTAGTTTGTCGGGGACAAATCTGGATATTCGTCACTCTGAGACGCGGGGGGGTGGGTTGGGGGGGAATATCGGAAACCAACCGGGGCAGCCCGGATATGCGCGACGAGGACGTTAATTGGACACGCTTGCATTGGCGGTGACATTTAGAAGCCCATAGTGGACTTTTGGCCGTGTGACATTCTTCAAAAATAGACTTGGCCCGACGTATAACGTATATTTAGGAAGGAGAAGTGACACGCCGCTTAAACATAAAGGCGCCTTTAGGCTTGTGGCATAACTGATCGATTAAGGGCAGGTGGTGCCACCACGTGCTTTAGGTGGCAGAGGGTGCTTTCGCGTTCGCAAGGTCGTGACCGAAACCTCGCTGTACCTTGGAGAGCTTTTTGCGACGATCCCTCGGGATTTTACCCTTCCGAGGTTTGCGGAAGTTCAGGGAATTTTTTTTAACGTTTCTTTGTTTTTTTTCTCCCAACCGAGCCGTGACATCGTTGGCCGTTAGATCTTTTCCTCTAAGCAGAAAATTAACATAAGATTTTGCGTTTGACAAATTAGTTATTAAAAAAGAAATTCAAATGAAATGCTACGAATGATGGTTGAATTATTAAAAAAAAAATTGTAATAAAACTCTACAGATGACTGTTGGGTTATTCTTAAAGAAAGTTATAATAGAGTTTTACAAATGAAGCAATTGGGATAGCTTTTTTCGTTAATTGTATTGAATTTTGAAGCTGTTGCCTATAGGGGAGCTCGAGATAAAGTCGTGAAAAATGAAGTTACATGTTGCCTTGAAATTTGTGGTGAACCTTCCATTATTAGTTTGCTTAAAGATTAAAGTGATATGAAAGTGGCAGTTAAGGGGTCAATCGTTTATGAAACTGTTACATAATTAGAGGGTACCGAATCATTTGCAATTTTTCCACGTACATATGGATACGTCTCTAGTAGTACAAAATATTTGTCCTATATTTTCTACTTATTTAACGAATATCGTACATTTTGTAAATATTTACCATACGTTTCAAATATTTGCAAAATGTTTAATTTAGAATATTATCCCTATAATATTTATATCGTATCAGCTCCACGTGTTTTCATAATATTTTTCTACCAAATATACAAAACATTTCGTTTCATTTTAATACAAGTATTTTTTAAATATTGTCCGCCGAATACATTATAAACGTTTTGAAAATACTTAAAAATCAAAATCACACGTTTTGCTGCCATAACGAAATAGCAGGACGAAAACATTACAAAAATTTCTCGTGTTTTTTGATACCAAATGAAATGTCCGATAATAGTCGTGAAGTAAAAAATGTATTTTTATTATGTTCATAGGTTAAAAAATATAATTTCTATATATGTATTTGTAAATTATTGAAACTAAATATGTCATTGTGATTTTCAACGAACATTTCAGGTATCTTCGAATGCAATCTATAAGAAATCTTAAAAAACCTGTCGCTTGAGATATTTAGCAAAGATTACAAAGAAATATTTAGAAATTATTCTATGCTACTAGGGGTGGCTCGGACGTCACTTTCATACCACCTTAAAACGTTTCTAGATTTATGGCATAACTGATCAATTAAGCGAAGCAGTGGTATCAAGTTATCTGGAATGCAGTTGGAACGTATGTTAGAATGTTGAATATAAAGTTAGGATTGCTACGTTACGCGTCAGCGTCATATTTAGAATAAAGTATCGGGTCTTATTTTGCAACAATTTGAGTAGGTGCACCGTAAATCGACGACTTGTAATAACGAAAAATGTGTAAACGTAAACGTAGAAAATATCTGGAAAATTAAACAGCAAATATCCATTCTCTCGGCTTTGTGCAAAACATCCCTAGTAGCATAGAATAATTTCTAAATATTTCTTTGTAATCTTTGCTAAATATCTCAAGCGACAGATTTTATAAGATTTCTAGTAGATTTCATTCGAAGAAATATTTCTTGAAAATCTCAATGACATATTTAGTTTCAATAATTTATAAACATATATAGAAATTATATTTTTTAACCTATGAACATAATAAAAATACATTTTTTACTTCACGACTATTATCGGACACTTCATTTGGTATCAAAAAACACGAGAAATTTTTGTAATTTTTCGTTCCGCTATTTCATTATGGAGCAAAACGTGTGATTTTGATTTTTAAGTATTTTTAAAACGTTTATAATGTATTCGGCGGACAATATTTAAAAAATACTTGTATTAAAATGAAACGAAATGTTTTGTATATTTGGTAGAAAAATATTATGAAAACACGTGGAGCTGATACGATATAAATATTATAGGGATAATATTCTAAAGTAAACGTTTTGCAAATATTTCGAATGTCTGGTAAATATTTACAAAATGTACGATATTCGTTAAATATATAGAAAATATAGGACTAATATTTTGTACTACTAGGGATAGATTCGTCGCAAGAATGCGTACATACTTGAGAACGTAAGCTCGCTTCAAAGCATTGTGAGACAATATGACGCCTACTTGCCAACGCTCAACGCGGTAATTTTAGAATTTATTTCGAGCTCTCCTGCGAACCTATCATTTTGAAAAGTACATCAGCTGCGTGTTCCTGCATCGGTTTATTATTTCCGAGTTGAATGCAACGCCCCTTGAAGATTTGCCCGATTCCGAGTTGACTCATTGACGGTCAAAATCCTGCACCCCTCACCCTTTTTAGTTATTACTCATATGACATTTATTCCCAAAATTTTGCGCACTTCAATAACAATACGAACGTTAAAAGATTCCCTTTACATTCAGCTTGAGAATGATCAAACATAAAAATCTGTAACACAACTGACTGATCGATTAAGGGGTTACACCACTTTGACGCACCCAAAAATTACGGTTTTTCAAGAATTTTTTTTTAAGAGTTAAAACGTTTTTATCCAAATTAAAGTACAGTAAGGTATTATACTACCATTAAACTCGCTCACTGCGAAAATCGGTGATCGTGCGATGGGCAGGTGTATAGGTGTAAACGCGGTTTTCTTAAAACTGCATTTCAAAAATCGGTGGGCACTCTAGCTCCGCCAATTTTAAATCAATCGTCTTGATTCTTTTTTTATTTTATTCGTGATATGTTTATCTAGCGAAATACATATGGTTTTTTTCAATGTATTGATATTCGCATTTTTTATGCAACACTAATTAACGAAATTTAGGGCAAAATACGTATCTTTCCTTTAAAATCGATGCCATTTTGTAAAAAATGCCTATTTTTGAAAACGGCTACGTATTTCGTTAGCTTTTGGGCTACAGAAACTAATTCTTTTTCGTATATTGTTCTAACTTAAACCTGGACTGAGTTATGGTGCCTACCGCACGATCACCGATTTTCGCAGCGCTCCGGTAAATCGCCTTTCAAGCCGCCATTTTCGTAAATAAAAAAAAATACAAAAAAGCATTTTTTTGTTTAATAGTAACATAATACCTTACTGTACTTTAATTTAGATAAAAACGTTTTAATTCTTAAAAAAAAAATTCTTGAAAAACCGTAATTTTTGGATGGGTCAAAGTGGTGTAACCCCTTAAAGGAAAGGCCTAAAAAATTTGAAATATAGGAGGCTGACGGCCAAGTACTTTCCAGCGTTTTGTCTAATAGAAAAATATAAACATACGGTACGAAACAACATTTCGTTTATACAGATTGGCTGGACGAGTTACGAAATATTACTTGGAAAGTTTTGCAAGCTTTGGAATAGTTTTCTTTAAGTTCACCCTGAAATCATAGTCGACCTCTCTCCGAACGAGATAAATAAAAATGAAGCCAACGGCGACGTAATTCGTAACCTATGGATAGTAGTGTTTCCGTTCTTTATCAGACGGACCGTATCTCTCCAAGGATGACAACGATAAGAACGGATTCCACGGAGCTCTGTCTCTTACGACGGGGATAATGGACGTTCGTGACGTCCGTTGGTGAACAAGTGAAGCGGGCTATGACAGAAATAGGCTGTCTGCGAGCAACAAATGTCTTTAGGGAATGCGTAATATGTGCGACATGAGTAAATACGTCTAAGTACTCTAGGTCACGAGTCGAGACACCGGTACTTGGTTACATGACTCCGTCCGTAGCCACGGGGTACGGTTTACGCTCGGTCGAAAATTGGCCGGTTTTGCGGATTCCTGGTTTAATCGTCACGCCGCGAAATAGAAACGTACAAATTCTAATTAAAAAGCAAAACCGAGAGCGCAACAAAGAATCCGTTGCGGAGAACCTTGAAAATCCTGATACTCCGGCCGCGAAAGAAAAATTTCTTCCATTATTCCTAACGAGATAACAATTGAGCAAGCAACTCGACATAATTTGAACACCGAAGGAAATAATTTGGAAATAATTCCCGAGCGAGGAACTGTTATTCTAATTAAAAAGCAAAACCGAGAGCGCAACAAAGAATCCGTTGCGGAGAACATTGAAAACCTTGATACTCCGGCCGCGAGAGAAAAATTTCTTCCATTATTCCTAACGAGATAACAATTGAGCAAGCAACTCGACATAATTTGAACACCGAAGGAAATAATTTGTAAATAATTCCCGAGCGAGGAACTGTCCGTACCGCTAAGTAGGCCATTTTTTCTCAACGCCCCTAGAAGAGCGTTATGTCTGTAAAAATGAACGCGACGAAGCTTTGGCATGGACAAAGAATCGCATCTATGTACTTGGGTATGTATAAGTGGTAAATATTTGGCACGTCAGCGACCAGGGTCTCGTGCACGTCATTCGAGGGTCCATATGCATTTGCGCTGCGACCATTCGATAGGATCGGTCGATCGATCCCGCAGATCCCGTGGATCCCCCGGATAGATCGACCGAGCTTCCTCGACGAGAAATGGATTAATAACATTTTAACGCCACGAGGGGCCTTAAATAATAACAGGCTCGGACTAGTTCGGGCCCAAACTCCAATAATTGTATCGGACTTACCTTTCTTCAAGGC